TTTATTATATATATAATTATACAAATAATTAAATAATTTTAATAATATTTAAAATATGAAATACTTTTAAATTTTACCCCACTTTTTGAGGGTCTATAAAATTCCAGATGGGCTGATTTCGAACGGCTATATTTCTCGAAGGGTCACATGTTGCCATCGGTTCACTTGACTCCTACGGGCGTGGTCTTACAATTCTGATTAATGTCCCAATCGCATCATTCGAGAGCTGCAATTTTGCATGAAACTGGAAATAAGAAAAACGCGATTGGTGAAACTGTTGAATCTCCAATGAAAATAGCTATTAAATTTCATTTTATTATTTAATGATTAAAATTTTTAAATCTTAATATTTATTTATTATGGTTATTATTTTAAATTTTAGATAATGAAGATTTTTCTTCCAATGGCAAAGATAGAAATTATTGTCCCGAAACAATTAAAGAGAAGAAAAAAATTGCTACCGAATGCGGATTTTGTAAAAACAACGGAGAAGTTCCTCATTTTTATAAAAGTCATACTCTAAGGAATGGACGTGGCAAAATAAACTGTCCAGTTTTAAGAGCTTATACTTGCCCTATTTGTAACAATGAAGGTGGGGATAATGCTCACACCATAAGATACTGTCCCGAAAATAAATCACAAAATCAAATACCTTTTGTTTTATCCCTGAAGACTTTGAGATCTTCTACTGGCAAAATAAAGAAAACAAAATAANATATAATATCGCTTTTTTTTTTTATCATTTGAATTGTTATTTGCTCATAACAATTCAACAAATCGTAATTTTTTTTATTCAAGTAATATTTATTTTTAAAAGAGATCATTTAGAAATAAAAATAAATTATTTTTTTAATAAATTTGAAAATTCGATTTGTTTTGGGCTATTGTTTCGAAAACTTACAACAGAATACGTTAGTTTTGCCAGAAGTCCATGTGATATAAGTTACTTGTACAGAATTTTATTTTATGAATTAAAAATGTCTTCAATTTTACGAACAGTTAAAGTAATAAGATGTATGAGCCGTTATGTACGGAATTTTACCTCCGCTAAAGTTGTGAATAATTCGTTGAGGACCTTTGTTATTACTCCATACAGGTATGAACACGCGTGTTCATTGAATTCTTATGGGCTCTACGGTTCCCGCATTACACGTTTTTTCTTAATTTTGCTTTCTTAAGCGACCTCACTGGTTCTTATTTCGGTATACCCTTATTTCAACTGATTCATAGTATGATTTAGTTTCTCTTGAATACGGATAGCAGTCTGATTGCATTTTTAATTTGTTAGAGTAACAAAGAATGTATAAAAAAAAATACGGAGATCTCTTCTATTTCATACTATTTTCACACTTTACCCAATTATCATTGATACAGATTACGACAGATAATTGGGGTAATCTTTACCTATGTGCACCGTCATGGCCATGGTCCTAACGGACTCCTCCCGGAGGGGAGCTGCCGGCAGGCCACAGAGTGCCTAATGTCACTAGTTATTGATTCACTGTAGTTCCTGAACAAAAGAAAAAAAAAAAGGAAATGTAGGTATTGTCTACTAAAAATATAGTTAATGTAACCTAACCTAACCAAACAGTTGCGACTGCTGCCATGACGGTGCACATAGGTAAAGATTAATCGATAATTGTTTATTGTATAAAATTTGGTCAGTGGCCAAATCCAGCATCTATATATATAACCCATTCAACGGGTGTCCGTCCCGTAACCGTTTGATAACGGACACTAGAGGCGCCCCTATCGTGTGTCATATTTCAAACATTCAAATTAACAATTTTAATTATTATTATTCATTTGGCCCATAAATTATTATTTGGTCAATATAACAATATAAATAATTCAGTATATTTGTAATAGGAATTTATTATTTCAGGGGCTTATATCTAGCGAAGAGTCGCGAGTAGGGGTATGGTTCCTTTGACTTTATTGTTTGCACAGGGGCTACAGTTTGGGGGTCGCCACCTCTTCATTTGGAGGGTAAATCTTACCATTGGGACTTTAACAGAGCTGTACAGCATATTGATGGAACAAAAAAGTCAAAGGAACCGTGCCTCATGGAAATTTGTAAATAATGCCCACTAGGGGGCATCCCAGGCTACTAGTGTGAATATATTTGACACATTTATAGCATTTCCATGCATGTAAAAGCATGTTCCTATATCAGCGTTTAGGTTGTGCTTTTGTAGAAGGATAAAATTGATGGTAAGGTTGCAGATGTGAATGACACTGGTGGGATCTTAACAGAGCTGTAGGCCATGTTCATAGAAGCAAAAAAGTCAAAGGAACAGTACCTTTACGTCTGACCCTTTGTGAGATATAGCCACCTGAAGTTATCCTACTTTCAGAATACAATTAGAAGTCACACTGCATACTCCACTAAGCCTATTGCATGTTTAACAGACAGCCCAGCCTGGTGGTCTAGCATTCTAATGATATTTATCAAGTAGAGATTAAAGAAAAGTTCAATACTGTATGCAATCTTTTGTGAGATATTTCCACCAAATGTGGATCCTCAATGGTGGCAGTTCCAGTCGCCATCTTGCTTGTGGACAACATGTTTTCAAGCAAGTTATGTTATAGATAGTGTTGCCACCTTTTTAAAATTGCTAACCCAGATAGCAGGTCAGGTTTGTTCGAACAGAAGTTCCTGATGCATGCACAATGTCATTTTACAATGCAAAGAATAATGTGCTAGATAACTTAGCAAAAAAAAAGGTCGATGGGTTGTGTGCCACACGTAAACAGATGAATGTTGGGACATGGCAGAATTGCAGAAATTACAGATGAATTTCAGTGGGTGCGAGTTCTTTTGCTGTTAAAATAGTGTAAATTACAAATTTACACTATTTTAACAGCAAATGAACTCGCACTCACTGAAACTCATTTATAATTCTGCCGTGTGGCATGCAACCTGTCGATTTTTTTTTTTTTTTTTGTATGTACGATCTACACTTCTAAGGGCTAAGTTATCTAGCACATTATTCTTTGCATTGTAAAATGACATTGCGCATGCGTCAGGAACTTCTGTTCGAACAAACCTGACCTGCTGTCTGGGTCAGCGAGGTCTGAGGGAGCAATATCTAGAGTATATGTAGGGTGATTCAAAACATTCCAAATTCTAGTTGTTGGTGTATGTTCAATGATATGTGCAGCTGCATTATCATGATGGAATATTGCTCCTATTGATTTACAAATCCCAGACATCCTTCAATCCTGAATGAACTGAAGGCTACAGTGCCTTCAGTTCATTCAGGTGGAAACAATTTTTATTGGAATTAATTGTTTGTTAAACAAGTCAAAACTTGATAAGTACAATAGAGGTGACAAAAATGAATGATTATGTAAATACCTGAACAAACTTTAATTTCAACCCTATATGATAACTTCCAATAGAAAACATTTAACTTGAACTTTTACTAATGCTTATTCTTCATGCTCCATATTGGTGAAGACTCGGTGCCATTTGCCTTGATCATTGCTCTGCATAGGGGTGAGCCCCCCACACTCCCTAAAACTATATAACTTCAAATACTTCACAGTCAATTAGGCTACTCAAAGTAGGCATAGTTAACCATGATAGTCTTAATAGAGTATGCAGTGTGACTCCCAATTGTGCCCTGGAAGTGGACTGATTTGTGGAGAACTATCTCATGAAGGGTCATGTGTAAAGTTATGGTTTCTTTGACTTTTTTGCTTGGGTACATGACAATTGGGTGAGAGTCAACTGGGCAGTTCATAATGGGTGATAGTCAAGTGAGTGACTGTCATCTGGGCAACAGAAACTTAAAAATTTTTGCAAGCATACAAATTTAAATATAGTTAAGACTTCAGAAGTATGAGTTACGAACTACAAGTTGCAAGTTATTTCCAACTTAGGAAAAGGAAATGTTTTGCAATTTTTAAGACGTAATTAAACTGTTTCAGTGTCACGTATGCTGGTACAATGTGTATATGCCCTTCTTATCAAGGATATAAGGGCTGTCAATTTGATGTGGAGAGGATCAACAGAGTTATGTGGAATTAAAATGAGTTGAAAACATTTGCAAGAGATGAAAATGTCCAAAAACTTTACTGTTGTTTTACTCACTTAGTCTAATTGTAGGAATAATTCATAGGGATTATCATTGATCACTTTTAAAAATTGCTGCAGGTTTGGTTTTCTCTGCCACAAGATGAAGATATCGTTAACATATCTAGCATATAAGACAATAAGGTGTTGGAATTTGGATAGAATGTTGTTTTTTAATTGTTGCACCACTAGCTCACAAAGTACAACTAGCTGATGTGGGACTGCCCATTGGTACGCCTCTTCCTTGTAAGTATACTTTGTTCTCAAATTCAAAGAACGATGTATAACATAGAAGGTGTGCAAGTTCCAGTATATGGTTGTCATGTTTTTGTGCATCATCAATGTTGGCAAACAGGAAATCCATTATTGCACAAAAACAAGGAGGCATTTTTATAGAAGGATACATTGATTTGAAGTCCAAGACCATCATGCATTTATTGTCTACCAGAGAAATGGTATTGAGACATTCTATAACCTGCAGCAAGTTGTTAACTGAAAGCGGATGGTAAATAGCCTTAGCATGGTAGAATTTGACCAGCTGTTTCTCGATTGAAAATGTCAGAGGATGTATTTGGTTTCCTGGCTTGTGAGTCTTGAATGCAAAAATTCTTGGTGTTTTTAGTGCATGGACTGTGGAGCTGTGCTTATGTAAAAGTTGTGCCAAGGGAGTGGAGGTGAATATTTTAACCCTTTGCTGTAATGATTCTAAAAAGTTGATGGGTGCTAGCTGCATTCTGTGGTTGTAACATATTCTCATAATTTCTCATTGTAGGTTAATCGTTTGAGCAACACTACTCCCTTCAACTTATCTGCTTTCATCAGAACTGTTATTTCATTTCATCCATTGGTGTGATTTGCATATAATATTCTGAGATTGTTGTGTGTATGAATCATTGCTTTCCTTGTATGCTGTCTGGAAATTGGTTTTCCAATGAAAAAATCCTGACGTGTGTCATTCATACCTTTAGTGATTAATTCAATGCCCGGTATGAAGGTTTTTGGCAGTGACAAAGGGTTTATTAGCATAAAGAGGACCGAATTTTAAGGCATCTAAAATGCATTGTGGTGGTACGGTGTCATCTCATGTTGTGACATGGGAGTTTCTGGCTCCGCTTGGTTTAATATTTTGCATGCAAAAGATCCATCTTAGTTTCCGTATATATTTCCATTTCAAAGTTATTGCAACACACTGTGATAAATTAACGACCCTCTCATTCACCACTGCTAGGAGCTTTGGGTCCTGCACATAAATGGTGTCTTCCATGTTTATCGGCTTATATAAAAGAGCATATGTCTGGTATCTGGTATTCCTAATCACTTTTCTGAGGCACAGCTGTTGGAGATGTGGGAGTAGCGAATTACATCTTACAGGTAACATTTCATGCAAATCACAGAAATATAAGCAGAGCTTGTATTTTCCAGCACTATGCCTGTCTACAGAATGCTGGGAAAATCAAAGCCTGACTGCAGTCTAATCATATATGTGTATCCTATTTACCCAATTGCAAGCTGACTGTTTTTTAATTTTTTGTGGTTCAAAAATTGACCCTCAGTTTAGAATTGGTAACATTAATATGGTTGGTAAAATAAGTTTTTTATCAATATAGTCAAAAGTTTGGAAAAATATCACTAT